ACATCGAGTGGCTGCCACCCGCACAACCGACCAGGGCCGGGGACAAACTGCAACCGAGGTACGCGCCCTTAGTGGGAACCGAACCCGGGTCTCTCAGGACCGCAGGCGGACGCTCTAACCGCTGAGCCAAACCGGCCAGGGCAATAAAAACATATTTTAAAAAAATCAGAAGCAATTCTGTTACAAGCAATCTCTAAATAAGGAATAATTCTGTCAGATGGGCTTATTCACTGATAATGTATTTGTAACATAACTATGTAAGACATTTAATTCTATAATGTATCTATGAATAATCTGAATTTTTATCAGTTATGATGAAATGGCATTTCACCATGTTACAGTTAGGTGTGTGTTAAATACGTAGATGACACAGGACACATAGATCACGTCGTTATAAAATGAGCTTGTGAGAAAAGCTTCTCCCTGGTTGATATAAGCCTCGTTCAGATAATCATGAACTTCCCTCAGAACCAAAGCCACTGTAAAGCCCATAACAGGTTTCCACTTCCTCTTGGGATGTAGAAATCCATGAACTAAAGCCTCCCTTCCACAGCAACAATGAGAAAAGTCTACACGACCACATCGTGACGGTTGCTGGACTCCTCAGAGAGAGCAGGGGCAGGCACCAGGTGGCACCCCTCGAAGAAGGACCGGCCCCTTCAAGGAGAGACGGGGCGCAGGACAGAGAGACCGACACGCAGCACACGGGGAAGACACACACTCGGTCTTAGCCACGGCCCACGCAGGCGGTCACGCTAGGACGGGCCGAAGGGGAGCCTGCCCTCCCTCCACAGGCTCCATCCAGGGTTCGAGGAAACAGCGGGAAGCGCAGGAGCTGAGAGAGCCCCCCCCCCCCACTCTTTGTGCGGAGAGAGGGTGTGAAATATGCATGTGCTTCACGGAGCCCTCACTGTTTGGAAGTAAACATGCTAACTGCTGGGAGAGGGTAGCAGGACCTCCTGGGCACAAAGTGGAGGTCAGTGGAAAAGAACAGCCCAGCCCTGGCCGGTTTGGCTCAGCAGTTAGAGCGTCGGCCCCGGACCAGAGAGTCCCGGGTTCAGGTTTGGCTCAGCAGTTAGAGCGTCGGCCGCGGACCAGAGAGTCCCGGGTTCGGTTCCCGCTGAGGGCATGTACCTTGGTTGCATTTCATCCCCGGCCCTGGTTGGGGTCGTGTGGGTGGCAGCCAGTCGACATGTCTCTCTCACATCGATGTTGCTCTCTCTCTCTTTCTCCCTCCCTCCCTCCTGCTCTAGCTGAAGATAAATGCAAAAATGTCCTGGGGTGAGGATAAAAGAAGAAAAGGACCATCTATGGCTGGGGATGGCAAGAAAGCCAGCATGAGCGTCAGACCCTGCATCCTCCTCGCACTGGGGACAGGCAGGGCACGCCCCGAATTCACCCAGGGAGACAGTGACGGCCGGGGGGGAGGGCAGCGCCCCACCCCAGCACAGACTCCAGGTGTGACGGAGGCGGGAGGAGAAGGACAGAGAGACCGGACCCCAGTGTGAGCTCTGCCCAGAGGAAGGAGCGGCAGCCTGCCTTGGGGAGCAGGCGTCGGCGGGAGGCCGCCCCCTGGGGGAAGGTGTTGAGGGACGCCTGAAAGCTGAAGGCGGGGTGCCAACGCAAAGAAAAACCCCCAAACTAAGCACATGGCCATGGCAGCCCCGCTGGAGGCGTGGGGTACACGGAGAGTAACCATAGCAACAGCAGAATGCAAACCCACTGCACTCCCGGCGGGCGGACAGCCCAGGCACAGACACTGGCCACAGTCTCTACCGCTGCCTCAAGGAGCCCAGTTTCCCAGAAAAGGGTGCGACACGTCCATGCAAGAAAACGGCCACCTGTCGCCTGCGACAAAGCGGTGACAGAGCTGGGCAGGAGCATAGTCCCGTCCCGGAAACACCAGGCGATGCTGTGACAGTAACTCTGGACGACGTTACAGGCTCCCCTGGCAAAGGCAGCGGGCAGGAAGAGGTGGAGTAATGACTGCAGAGACAATAATTGTGAGAAAGACTCAAATGGAAATTCTAGGGGGAAACCCACACGGTCAGACATGAAGGATCGTCTAATGAGCTCGTTAGCGGAGTCGACAGGGCTGAGAGAGGCTCGGTGACTCTGCAGAAAGGTTAAAAGCAATTACACAAACTGGGACAAGGAGAAGACCGCGAACCACACGGAACTGCGTACGCAGGACCGAGACGCGTCGACGGTCCGACAGCCTCGGGGAGAAGCAGGTGTCCCAGAAGCAGGAGAGACGCGGGGCAGAAGGGAACAGCTGGGATGAGAACAGCGAGAATTCTTCATAAGTAATGAAACATATCAAACCACAGACCCAAGAATGTGAGACCCCCAAGCAGGGTGCAGGTCACATCTCCGCGCGCATGCACACGCACACACACACACACACACACACACACACTCACACCTAGACACTGCCCGTCCCCCTGATGAAAACACATACTGAAAAAAATACCTTAAAGAAAGCCAGAGAACGGGGACAGATGCACAGGAAATGCAGCTGCCTTGCATCGTAAGCTACGACAGAGAAGTGGCATCTCTACTATGCTAAGCACACAGAGCGTTCAAGCCGCACTGCTATGCCCAGCAAAACGTGAAATAGTGAACTTCAGAAAAAAGAAGAAAAGAAAATAAAAGCTGGAAGAATCTGTTGTCAAAAGACCTGAACTATAAGGAATGTCTAAGGAACTTCTTTAGACAGAAAAATATTAAACAGAAACTTGGGTCTACCCAAAGAGATAACAGGCTTTAAAGATATTAAAATAAAGATAAAGATTTTTTTTCTTATTTTTGATCACTCTAAAGAATATTGACTACATACAGCAAAAAACAGTTAAAATATTTTGTAGTTTTTATAACAAGTAAAAATGAAAGGTAAAATGATAAGAGATAAAAGAAGAAAAAATAAATTGAAAGTCTGCTTTTTAGGTTCTTAGACACAAAGTGATGTCATACTTGAAAGTAAGCTGTGCTAGGCTAAGGATGGATATTTTAAATTCTAGGGAGTCCATTAAAATTTTAAATCGTTTTAACCAATAAGCCCGTAGTGGAGATTAATGGGAGCAATAATAAGACTCAATGAAACCAAAGCTGGTGGAAGAAGGAAGTCGTCCTGGGCCATATGCAGCTGCCCAGGGCGCGGTCCCTCCCATGAGGAGCAGGTGCGTCTGTCTGCACTCAGTCAGTTCTTAGCCGTGCGACTTAGACCTGGGCCCGGTGAAACACACACATCTGTTGTCTCTTCCTTCTCTTCAAACGCCGAGCACGAACCAGGACTGTCCGGGGGACAGGGAAAGAGCTGCAAGACGCGGACACCTGGGAGAGAGGGGGTGCTGGCTGCTCCCACCATCATCTCACGGATACAATTTGAGTGAAAAGTGTGTTTAGAGACTTGCAGACTGGCCGCAGGTAATTTAGGGAGATGCAGAAATACGTCCACAGATTGCACACAGTGGACGGTCGTTTGCCAAGCTCAGCAGACCTTATCCTATTTGCCGCTGACCTTAGTAAGATTAGTTCTGCACGGACTTGGTACCACCCACATCTAAAGCCCGGCGCGGAGCATGAGAACGGACAGCTGGTTGCTTGGAAGCCCACGGAGACGAGAATTGGGGGTGAGCTCCGAGAACCGGGTGGGCCTCTGCAAACCTCTCGAACAAAACCAACACATAAAAATGCAGCGTTATGTTTGGCCGATTATAGGCGGATGGATACGCTCAGTAATTAAACAATTAAACGAGGCCTCGGACTCTTGACCGAGCGTCAGGGCGCTGAGTGATGTCGGCATCTTTTTCTCTCATGGAGCCCGGTGGCGGGAATGAAGGAGGGAGATGCCTGATGTTGGAGCTGAGACTGCCCCTCTTTCCGTAAGTGACTGAAAAGCCCGAGGACAGAATCTAACTTTGAGAGGGAAAGATAAGAGGAGGCACCCCTTGTAATACTTCTAAAAATACGAGCAAATTAATTAACACGGTCATAAATATAAGAAAGTCTGCAGTTCGCCAGCTACACAGGTGGCCGAAATGTAACAAAGAGGCGGCCTTTTGCAGGCACCTCCTACAGAAATAATATCCACAGTATCACCGTAACTGCCGCCTAAGTAGCCCTATTCAGATAAATTGCAACAAAATTGCACACAAATGGCTGTGAGGAGCAGGGACATTTAACCGGGATGGAAAGAGCCCTCGGTGTGTGTCTGGTTGGGACCGTTTGTCATCAGCGGGGAATCTGGCCTTCGCGAAGCCTGTGCGCATCCCCGCCCCGCGAACCCCGAACTCGAGGCGAGAGATCGCTTATCACAGCCCGGCCGCGTTTCTTGTTGCCGCTGCTTATTAAGGGAGATGAATCTGGACATTAAGTGTTTTTAGTGCTTGAAAACACGTCCTAAATAAACCCCGCTCTCACTGGAGATCTTTATTTCTCTCCTGCAGGGTTTCACCTGCATCATCGAGCCAGCGGCGAGATTTGTGAATCCGACCTTTGCCGTCCGTTTATCAGACTATTAACTCAGCCTCGCATCCATTTTTAAAAGGTTCAGGCTCCTCTGCGAAACCTTCTCCCAATTAAAATGAAAAACGCACGGTTGCCGGCCGCCGAGCGGCTGCCCTGGGCCTCCAGCGTCACAGCCCCAGAGCCTGAACGGAGAAGCCCTGGGACCGTCATCTGTTTGGAAGTTATGACTTTCTACGTTTTTCTGGATGTTAACGTGACTATTTACTGTCACAGGAAAACTGGTGATGTTACCAACGGCTACTTTTTATGCCGTTTAGTACAAAGGACCCCAAAGCAGCTAATTATTCCAGCCACACCCCCGGTGGTCGCCTTGTGTAATGCCGATTTCTTAGACAAAGATGTCCGGCCCGAGTTCATTCAACTTTTCAACCCAGATTTAGAATAACATTTCACTGCGTCAGGAGGGGACGGCTCCCCTTTCCTTTAAGAACCCCCCCGTGCCTCCGCGGGGGCAGGCGCCCGGGCCTTACTTTTATACTCCAGGTGGAAGCCGGCGGCGGCCACGCTGATGTCTGACTGGAAGTGCAGGCGGAGCTGGTTGGACGAGCTGTTCAGCAGGGCGGGCACCGTGGTTCCTGCGGGGGGGCAGAGATGGCAGCTGAGTACCCCAGAGATGGCAGCTGAGTACCCCAGGCGCGTCCGTCCTCGGGATGCAAACTACACCGGACACTGTTGGTTCAGCGACCCCCCAGCTCGTCTGCTCACACGTGTTCGCCCCGAGTCTTGGCTCCCACCCTTCTGGGGGGTCCGTCTCTCTAGGGCAGGAAGGGACCCCAGTGCCTCCGCCCTCCTCGGGGTAGGAGCACATCCTCGTGCACGTGGTTTCCACACTGCTTTCCCTGCACAACATTCTATCTTTATTTTTCTTTTCCTTGAACAGAAAAGAGACGCAATGTAAGGACGCACGTGTCCGGAGGCTGGGGGCCCGGAAACCTGAGCTGGTAGGTTATTCATGGATGTTGCTTTGACTAGTTTTTCTGGCCCTGCTGTGTGCTGATCCATGTTCCTGCTGAGCTAGGGGAGGACTTCAGGCGAACGGGTGACAGGGAAACCTCAGGTGTCCTTGGCATCGTGGCCCCTCGCCTGGACACGCGCTAGCCTGCAGAACACCATGGGGCAGATGGGGCACACGGACGGAAGGGGCTGGGCGGAAGGGAAGTGTCCACCAGCCGAAGTCTGAGACGTGTGGGTGGAACGTCTCATGATGACAAGCGTGTTGAAATCCCTCCCTCCAGCGCGTCCACCCTGCGCCGTGCTGGGTCCCCATCAGTCTCTCGCTAAGTGCACACTCACCCGACGCCAAAGACACGCCCACTGGGCAACGTCATCACGGTCTGGACAAGTCACTAGCTACCTTGAGGATAACACTGATGTATGAAGAAAGAAATACTATTGTAATAAAACAAGGAAATTGTGATCTGAGACAGACGGGCGTTACTGAAAAGATAAGACCTATGATCCTTCCCTAAACGACTCCCATGTTCTCCAACAGCTCCTGGTGCACCTGTGACGTCAGAAAGGACTCCGGGTCCATTGCAGCCCTTGGCTGTACCCATATCGCACCCCTGGGAAACCTGGCAGAACCCCGTGAGGCCACGTCAGCAAGCAACACTGTGAGGTCCACACACACCCGCCCATCAGGAGCTCCCGCCCTCCCGCGACCCCGCACTGCCCTACGTAGGGCATCAGGTGTAGCCGCACCTCCTCAGACCCTCCAGGTCCACTCACCCCATCTCCCCACCACCAGCGCCGGGAACCAGCTGCTGACTGGTGTCGTAATCCAACCCGTTGTCCTCTCCGGAGGGAGCTCTCTCAAGAGCGGACAACGGAGTGTGTCGTGTGCAAATTCTGACGGATGCGGCATCATCTCAGGATGCAATGGCCACTCCTGGGTTGGGACGAGCCCTCCTGCAAGGCCTCGGCGCCACCTGCATTCCTAGGTGAGTCTCCCCTCTCCCTTGCAGCCCCGTCTGCCCTGTTCCGAGTGTCCCCCACTCCGTCCTGGAATGTCTTTCCCCTCTGATCCACGTTGGCTTTGTCACCCCCACTCATGCCACCATCTTCACCCCTGCGAACTAAGGCCCCCACTTATTCATCCAACCAACATGGGCTTCCCAGACACAGACGACTCTCAGCCACCTCGACACAGGCCAGATGTTTTCCGACTCGGGACAAAGCAGACCTTTCCCTGAGTCAGACTCAGCCTCCGAGACGTGAGCACCCAGTCTCGCTGGACACAGCACGGCCCGTGGCAGCCTGGTCTCCGCTCCCGCCTGCCATCCCCACGTCCAGCCTGTCTGGACTGACGAAAGAGCCTCCGATCCCGCTGCCTCCTCCCTGCGCAGGCCTCATGCACACGAAGTAATCTTCTTACAAAGGGATGCCGCGTGTACAATTTATTTCTAGATGTGGCTTTAAAATACGTGGTTTATTAAAATGCTCAATCAGCTTCGGGGTGCTCTGAGGACTCACCCTGGAGGGTAGGGACATCCAGCGTCCGTCGCTCCTGGGGTCCCTTCCCCACCCAGGATGGTGAACATCCGTGAACGTCGGGGTCCTCTGTTCCCCACCCGTGGGCTCACCCCCAGTCCCGTGGCGCCTGCACGCCGGCGGTCTGGTTCCCCCGGCCTCTGACACGGGCTCTGTGCCTTCCTTCCTGGGCCCTGCCCCTCCCTGTGACGCTGAGCGGGAATCAGGAGCAGTTGCCTGCAGGGCGCCGGGGCCTGGGGGCGCCTCACCCTCCTGGCTGAGCCCTCCAGCCCCAGCCCCCAGCAGCCCTGCTGCCCCAAAGGCGGAGGTCCTGGGAAGACCACAGGAGCAGGGAGGGGCCCCAGGGTCTAAGCAGCCTCTGCTGTGAGGCCCAGCCAAGTGCAAAGACCGGCTCTCTCCTAGAGCGAGCTCGGGAAGATGCCGGTGGAGTGAGGGGCGACCCACCCCAGGGAAGGGACCCGTCTCAGGTGCCGGCGAGTCTGCGTGGCTTCCGTTCTGATCACACACCGGGGGCAGCTCCTTGGCCTTGATCAGCAGGTACGTCTTTCAGAGACTCTGGGTTCACAACGCTTCACTTTGAACATAGGCCTTAACTAGCATCTTTTTAAAAAATATTTTTTAATTGAATTTAGAGAGAGAGAAAGGGGGGGATAGAGAGATAGGAAGTCGAGGAGACAGAAACATCCATCAGTCGCCTCCTGCTCACCTCCTACTGTTATCGAGCCCGTACCCCGGGCTGTGCTCTGACCTGGACTGAAACCGGGACCTCTTGGTACCAGGGATGACGTTCAACCCCCTGACCCACACCGGCCAGGCTATTTTGGCATCTCTGGCCAATCGGCATCCAGACCATCACTGCACTGTGTTGAACAGGAGCAGCGGGGGGGGGGGGAACCCCACCCACGCCAGGCTGACTGCAGGTGTGCGTGTCGGTCGTTGCAGAACTCGGGTTCCCTGTGGATCTGGGGTCTGTGCCTCAGTCCGTGTTCCCTGGATGCCGAAGGGAGGTTGGCTTAGGGAAGCAGGTCTCCAGGGTCTAGATCATGCCTCCCTAACTCACCACCAGAACACTGTACCTGTGTGGGGCGGTGAGCACCTAGAACGTGTGCAGGTGTGACCACTTTGGTTCTGATCTCGGTTTGATAGATAGATAGATGATATATGATAGATAGATAGATAGATAGATAGACAGGTAGATGATAGATAGATAGATAGATAGATAGATAGATAGATAGATAGATGATTGATAGATAGATGATTGATAGATGATAGATAGAAGATAGATAGATAGATAGATGATAGATCAATGATAGAAATGAAGATAAACAGTAGATAGATGATAGATAGATAGATAGATGATAGAAATGCAGATAGATGGTAGATAGATGATAGATAGATAGATGATAGATAGATAGATAGATAGATGATAGATCAATGATAGAAATGAAGATAAACAGTAGATAGATAGATGATAGATAGATAGATAGATGATAGATAGATAGATAGATGATTGATAGATAGATGATTGAGAGATAGATGATTGATAGATGATAGAAGATAGATAGATAGATGATAGATCAATGATAGAAATGAAGACAAACAGTAGATAGATAGATGATAGATAGATAGATAGATGATAGAAATGCAGATAGACAGTAGATAGATGATAGATAGATAGATAGATAGATAGATAGATAGATAGATAGATGATAGACAGACAGACAGATGATATGTTGGCAGGTGAATGAGGTTTGTTTAATTGAACAACTGTGCGGGAACGTAAGCTGCCCCTCAAGGAAGGAAGGAGCAGGAGGAAGGACCGGCACCCAGTCTTGACCCAACTCTAATCTAACACCAGCACGGAAGACACATTCCAGACCAGGTTTAACCTGTTTGTGTGCATTTTACATGACGTTTCCTGTCCTCTCTCCCATGTTACTCCTGGATGCTGGGTGCGGAAGGGACAGCTTACTACAGGCCTGACCCTCTAACCACGTGATTCCGTCAAGCGTGTGCTCCCGTTCGCTGACTCTCCGGGAACCGGAGTAACCGGGGACTCCCCGGGACGGTCCTCCGCCGAGTGAGGCTCCTTCTGGGCCGAGCTGCCCCTTGCTTCCCGCTGGCACGTCTCCGACGCCGTCGGGGAAACCTGCTTGTTCTCACCGCCACCTGAACACCGACCCGCGTGTCCCTCGATTTGGTGGGAACGCCCCTTCTCACGCGATGCCCGTGCTCCGGCCCGTGTTCTCGAACGCTCTCCGGGAGACGAGCACCTCGCTGATACTTCGCGCGGGCTGGGGGAGCCTCCGGCCCCAGCACAGCAGGGCGCACAGGCGGGAATTCTCTACACGTGACTTTCTCATTTGTCTGTCTTCCGTGACTGTGTTACGTGGGATCAGAAAGCCTACTTCCTGTCCTGATTTTTCACACACCAGCCCCTCACTGTGTAAGAGATTTCATCTGCTGTGCCCAGTCCCCCAAGCGGAAGACGACAAGCAGCCCCTCTGGGCGGGTGAGGGATGCCGTGCACGCGAGGGTGCCTCAGGAATTCCCGCATCCATCTAGAGGTCCGCACTAACCCCAGCAAGTCTGGCGTGAGGGGCAGCTGGTGTGCATGCGCCCGGGAGCGTGATTCTGCGTTTGTCTATACGTGATGCCGGGGCTGTGTCCCGGGCGCCCAAGGAGATGCCAGGAGGGCTGGGAGGAGCTGCGTCCCTGGCCATGGCCGGCGCCCCTGGGCCCCGCTTCCTCCGGCTCCTCTGAGGCTGCCCATCGGGAGAAGCTCCTCCCACCACACACAGTGCAACTGAGACATCTTATAAACGGGTGGCCACAGGCAGAGGATGGCGGAGCCCTCGCTCCCGAGACCCAGGTCAAACCACACACAGGAGCCACGGAGAAGCTGAACGGCCCCCCCTGTCGTTCGGGCTCCGCACACGTACATCCCTCCCTTCCAAAGACTGGCAGCCACCACGTCTCACGGACTGCGCTGCATTTTATTCGTCTATAACGTACAACCTGTCTACTTCCTAAATGATTTTAGTGGCTTACAATATAAGTCCTACCTACCTAAGGCTGTCCAGAAGGAAATATTTTTTAAATGAGTGTATTTAAAAAGTCAGTTGCCGTGGCCAGTTTTGCTCAGCGGTTAGAGCAATGGCCCGTGGACCAGAGAGTCCCGGGTTCGGTTCCCACTAAGGGCACGTACCTCGGTTGCAGTTTGTTCCTGGCCCGGTTGGGGTCGTGTGGGGGGCAGCCACTCGATGTGTCTCTCTCACATCGATGTTTCTCTCTCTTTTCCTCCTGTTCTATCTGAAGATAAATGCAAAATGTCCTCGAATGAGGATTAGAAACAAAACAAAACAAACAAAATTAAACCTATCTCTAATTCATACATGTATGAACATGTAAAAGTATCATTTTTAATATTTTTTTATTGATTCTTTCTTTTAGAGAGAGAGACCCATCCATCGGCCGCCTCCTGCACGCCCCCTACTGGGGATGGAGCCTGCACCCGGGCATGTGCCCTGACCAGGAATCGAACCGGGACCACTCAGTCCATGGACGACGCTCAGTCCACTGAGCCACACCGGCCAGGCTAACGTATCATTTTAAACTGTTTGTGAGCAAGTAGCGGGTGCTGCACACTTTCACCATCTCCGCAGCGCGGGGCTGACTCCTTTAAACAGCGACGGACACAAAGAAGGGCGGTAGGGGCAGCGTTGTGGGCGGCCGCCCTGAGCAGTTGGGGAGAGGACTCATTTGTCATAAATGTCACTGTATGTCACTTAAAACAAAAAAGAAGAAGAAGAAGGTAAAACACCTAACAGAGCCGCAAAGTCCCGTGTAATCGCAGACTCAGTGGGTTTTCCAGTCGGCCGAGGAGCGTGGCTTTGGCAACAGGAGGTTCTCCCAGGACCACCCATGGCCTCTGCCTCTGGTTTGGTCGTGTGTTCATCCCTCGGGGAGAAGTCTGTCTTTCTGCGCTTTGCATCCACAGGATGCTTTTGAGAAACACGAGCCAGTTTCATTTCTTATTTCCAGTTGGTCTCATGTCGAGAATATAGACATGAGATGCTGTCTTCCTCCTGGTCGTCTGGTCTGCTGGCAGGCTCTTGGAGGTGACGGGAGGTGGCGGGAGGTGGCGGGAGGTGATGGGGGTTGACAGGCACTGACCGGGCAGTGACGGGCGGTGATGGGGAGCTGGCTGGAGGCTGACTCAGGGCATCTCCTGAGCTGGGCTCCGGGCGGCACCGCGTGGAGTGTGAAGTCAGCGCGGTGTGTGTTTCCACCACGGCGATTGCAGGAGACCACACCGGCAGCCCCCCTGCTGGTTCTGAGTGAAGGTTCTCAGTCTCCGGGCGTCGCTGGGGACCTTCATGTTCCCACTGCTGTCTGGGCTTGCCACCCTGAGCTCCCACTTTCCCTGGACCACATGAGGCTGCGGCGATGCCCTGAGATCGTCCTCCCTCATCCACATGCCACCCGGCTCTAGGGCCACAGACGTGCCCGCTGACCCTTCACAGCGACCGCCAGACGGCGGCTTCCCAGACCCCCCTTCCTCCTGGAGTGTTGGTGGGCATTCGGCAAGCAGAGCTTCCTGTCTGTCTCGGGGTCCTGGCAGGTGTCTGTGCTCCAGTGTGGGTCCCACGTCTCCATCTCAGCAGCACGGCCCACGGGGACCTTCTCCGGCCGGGCCCAGGGGTCCACTCCCCTCTCAGAAGCATTGCTTCCTTTGAGGGGAGAGTGGTATTTGGAGGGGTCCTCAGAAACCCAGAACTGGGTGCAGGTGGGGTGCACCCAGTCTACACCTCTCGGGGGGCCGAGGTAGGAAATCTGCACGGTGCAAACACACACACACACACACGCTTACATGTCACTGACGTCTACAGCTGCACGAAATAACTGTGAGTGCACCGGCACCCCAGTTCACACCCTGCACTCCAGGCCCGCGCCGCTGTCCTCCCCTCCGTGTGCTCCCTCCCTTCCCCGCCATTGAGAACCTGCCTCCCCTTGTCCCCAGAGTTACGACTTCCGGTCCCCATGTGCCTGCCTAACCCTCGGACAGTACCCACGACCACCCTGCTCCTCCCTAAAGCTCCAGACCCTCAGTGATGGGAAAGGAAGGTCGGCCAGAGGGGATCTGAGCCCTCACCCACGCTCCCCAGGAGCCCGCCTGTGAGGACCTGCACTGTGGCCTCGCCGGTCCCTGACCCTGGGTGGCCTCTGCTCACTAGGACGAAGCCATGTCTCCGGCCCCCTGCTGTGCTCCGAGGTAGCCCACCCGGGAGGGGCCCGTGTGCCCGTGCGTGAGCCGTGGGGGTCCTGCTAAAGTCTCCTTGCAGGTGTTCAGCTAGTGAGTGACGCCTGGCTCAGCGGCTGGACGACTGCGCGTCTCACCTGAGAAGCTCCCCAGTCTGGGCGCGGCCACGTCCCCGCCGTCGTAAACCTCCAGGGAATCCCAGTTCTGCTCCGTGGCGAAGCTGATGACCTGGATCTGCCACACAGGACACGAGTTACTGTGCAGCTCCTGTCCGGGAAACACCGGTCCCGCGAGGTTTCCACGGAGTCACTGATGTGTGTGACAGACAGACCCCGCCACGGAAGGACCTCCACGGACAGGGCGTCAGAAATTTGTACAGAGGGCACTTCCCATAGATTTTATTCCAAGAATCTACTATTTTAATTTCAAATATAGAAACGTTAGCAAAGATCCTTGGTAGAGAGAGGAAGAGAAACCAGCTATGGTTTATGTATTTACCAGTATTCTTTTTTTAAGAGGACTTTTTAAAAAAAAAAAATTGATTTTAGAGAGAGAGAAAGGGAGGGAGAGAGAGAGAAACACCGATGAGAGAGAACATTGACTGGCCGCCTCCTGCACGCCCCCCACTGGGGATCAGGCCCACACCCTGGGCATGTGCCCCGACCGGGAATCGAACCGGGGACCTCCTGGTGCAGGGTCAATGCTCAACCACTGAGCCACACCGGCCGGGCTGGTTTATGTATTTAAAAGAACCAACACAAAAAAGGAAAAGAAAGAAAGACAGCCAAGCCCCGTCTGTGTGTAGACACCAGGCGTGAGGACGCACCTGGATCCCTGATCCCTCCGTCACCGTGATTTTCCAGACGCAGTTCAAGTTGTTGCCGTAGGGCTCCGGGTACCCCGGCGACAGAATCGTGCCCCTCCGCTGAGTGAAGTTGCCGCTGCAGGGCACTAGAAGACAAACCCGAACTTAGCCAGAGCAGCGCACAGCGAAGGGCAAAGCGAGTTTGGGGCTGGTGTCCTGGTACTGAGGGATCCACTGCTCAGAGAAACTGCACGCAGACTGGGACACTTTAACTGGCACGTTTCGGCCGAGGTCAGAGGTGGCCTGCCCTCTTTAAAGTAGCGACACCATCACGTAGGGTTTACGGAGCTACCAGGCTCAGGTCTGTGTCTGAGAGAAACCTGGTCCCCGTCCCTGAGAGGCGTGTCCGCGTGACCTGTGTTCAGAGGATTATCTGCCGCGTTTCCGAGCGTCCACACTCTCCCTTCCGTACACGGACCTGCTGTGACGCCCAGTGACACTAGTGGGATCTGTGAGCAACTCCAGAGAGGGGAGGGACCCTCGAAACGTAAAATCAACTTCAGTGCTGACCGCGGCCGCGCTGCAGCTTCTCAAAGGAAGCGTGACCACAACCGCGGACCCTGCGTCGCACCCGGTGCGGGAGGCGGTGGCTCCGCACACGCTGACTGATGGCCTTGCACAGACCAGCGTATAATGATCCCCCCCAAAGTGAAATTCGGCTGCACTGCCGCGGACGGACGGCTGGCGGCAGGCTCAGTAATGGTTGAAAGGGGAAACATTGTTTCCTCGTTCATCTGATCAGTGGTTTCCTGGGACAATGATTTGCAGGGTTTGCTGCTCAACTATGTCCAGTAGAAGAAGCTGCCTGTTAACAGGCCTGGCGTGCGCTCCATGAGGGAGCCTGGCCTGAGCTCTGACCGAGGGCCCCGCAATGCCCCTGAGCTGCTGGACCGGCGGCCTTGGCGCCCGAGGACACCCGCGGCGCTGCTTACCTACGCAGCTGGGGACCGTGTCGTTCCACTGGGCCAGCGCGTTGGGCACCGACCGGCAGCGCAGGGCCGCCGACCCCTGCAGCAGGTACCCCGGGTTGCACTCGAACCGGACAATGGAACCCGCGGAAAACTCGGAGCCGATTCTCCTTCCGTATCTGGGCTCAGGGACAGAGCTGCACTGGGTGTCGCTGGTCCGAGGGACAGCTGCAGACAAAACACACAACATGCCATCGCATCAGCATTGAAAAAGGTTTCAGATGCATCGGCCCGGGGCACACGTGGGTACAGAGGTCAGCAATGCCGTCCACGCCTCGCCAGGGGAGCAAGGGGGGCACGCTCTGTCTACACGGGACCCTCTGACCAACCCCGAGGACCGCCGGTGTCTCCCTTCTGATGAGACCGGTGCAGGGAGAGGGAGAGCCCAGGACCCAGGGACCCTCAGGCGGTGACAATTATCATGGTGCTTGCGGGAGGAGATCACTGAGAACCTGGGCTCACTTGTTCTTGAGGATCCGAGGGCCCCGTGAGAAAAGTCATTATAAATAAAAAGTTGTTTGTCACATGGTCATTGCAAAATAACAGCAAAGCTGAACGAAGCCCTGGCCGGTTTGGCTCAGAGGTTAGAGCGTCGGCCCGCGGACCTGAGTCACGGGCTCGAGTCCAGTCAAGGGCGCGAACCTCTGTCGTGGTTCATCCCTGGTCGAGGAAATGCGGAGGCAACAAGTCCATGTGTCTCTCTCACGTCGATGTTTCTCTCTCCCTCTCCCTCTCCCCCTCCCTCCCTCCCACTCTACCTGAAGATAAATGGAAAAATATCCTCAGGCGAAGATTAAAAAACAAAACACAAAAAACTGAACAAAGAAGTACCATGTGGTCCAGAAATCCCCCTTTGAGTTATTTACCCCAAATCATTCAAATCAGGCTCACAAAGCGTGTTCGCTCAGCACCGTCCGCCAGAGCTGATCACGGAAACCGCCCACGTGTCCACCCATCGGGGGCTGATGAGGACGCCCCGTGGAGTCTGGGTCAGCCTCAGAAGGCGGGACTCCCCCGGTCTGCGTGTGTGTCCTGGGACCCCCGCTCGGCGGACTGAACGGCAGCGCCTGACCCGCTCCCCGGGCCGTGGGGTGAGCTCCCAGAAGCAGGGGGGAGGCGGGATGAGGACCTGCTGTTCCACAGGCATGAAGTATAAATCTGTGTTTTGTTTTTAATCCTCGCCCGAGGTACGTTTTTATTGATTCGAGAGAGAGAGGAACGGGGAGATAGAGAAACATCGACCCGTCGCCTCCTGTACGAGCCCTGACCAGGGATGGAACCTGCAACCTGGGCGTGTGCCCGGACCCACAATCAAACCCACGATCTTTGGCGCACGGGGTGACGCTCCAGCCAACCGAACCACCCGGCCAGGGACAAATCTGTTCATTTTAAACAATGATGAAGTGAGCTCACCAGAGAGGGCAAATCTTAAGTTACTACAATAAAAAAAAGTCATGCTGTTGGGGACACGCAGCTAAAGTCTGAGCTCTCCGTGGACACACCCGGGGGGCACAGAGCGGGAGGGTTCAGACCCCGCGGCTAGAGCCGGTGACAGGATGCAGCCGCCTTCTCCTGCCCAGGGGCCTGCCTGTGGGAGCAGCCCTTCCCCGTGGGGGGAAGTGGGGGTGCTGCGGTCACAGCCACTTCCCCGTCAGCCATTCAGCACTGAGAAGCTGTCCACGTGAGAAAAGCACTCTGATGTCATAACTGTGCAAATGGCAAAACCAGATTAAACAGCAAAGAGCTAAGTGTGTGCGGAATCCGGCTGCTGAGGGCATCACAGCCTGGAGGTGAGAGGAGGACCAGGAGCTGCTGTGCCACCTGCCACCTGCCGGCTGCCACCTGCCACCTGCTGGCTGCCACCTGCCACTTGCCGGCTGCCACCTGCCAGCTGCCACCTGCCGGCTGCCACCTGTCACCTGCTGGCTGCCACCTGCCACTTGCCACTTGCTGGCTGCCACTTGCCACCTGTCACCTGCCAGTGCTGCCTGGCCCTGGGTGCTGGGCCATGTCGTCTGCTGCTGACCATATACTCTGAGTCGCTGTGGGTTCACACCTGCTCACCAGCGCTGCGGAGGACACTGTGAAACCATGCGCAGGACCCCACCCCCTCTCCCCATGAACATGAGCCATCGCCCCTTCCGGTCACAGCTGGATCTGGGCTGTGTCCCTCCAGCCCTCAGAGACAACGAAATGCCCCAGACAGCACCCGACCCGAAGCAACATCACAGCCTAAGCCCCCAGCAGCCCTCTGGAGCTCTGCTGAGACCCCAGGATCTGTGCTGCCCCATCTTCATCGACGGCGAGCCGAGCCCAGCGTGTCCGATGGCGGGGGACCCTGCTCTCTGGGTGGAGCCTCACTGCAGTGTGGGGAGTGACAGGGACACCTGGCTGCCTGTCAGAATCCACAGCTGTAAGAGGGTTTTCTGTAGCCCGGCCGGTGTGGCTCGGTGGTTGAGTGTCGACCCTGCACCAAGAGGTCACTGGTTCGATTCCCAGTCAGGGCACATGCCCAGGTTGTGGGCTCGATCCCCAGTGCAGGGCATGCAGGAGGGACCGAGTGATATTCTCTTTCATCAAAGTTTCTATCTCTCTCAAGTCAATAAAAAACAGTATTGTTTTTAAAAAGAGATTTTTCTGTTCATAAACAGGGGCGTAGAGTACAGGTGGCAAAGAGGCCGTCACCCAAGTGGGCTCTTAGGGACACAGGCCCGCCAGGTGTGCAGCTCGGGCTTTGTGATTTCTCCTCCGCAGTGACATCAGCTTGTGTCCGGTCCCCCTTCCCGTGTGCACAGCCCTGTGTGTCTCCCGGCTGTTCTCTGGGAGATGCTCCCGTCCCCACCGCGTTTCCTGATGTGCGGGCCTCGTGTTGGAGGCGGAACCCTGACACTGATCCGCCGTGTGGGGAACTTCGGCGAGGGAGCGGTTTTAAGTGAATAAAAGTCAGATTATCTTGATGGAACTGCATCTCAATTCAGTGTTGAAATATTTTCTATCAAAAGGCAAAAGTTGGAGAATGAATGGCACATCAGAGGCACACTTTCCTCCAACTAAAGCAGAATAACTGTCCCATTCTATCATCATAAACTTGCTTACACTTCAGCCTCCCGCCGGCTCTCTGCGCCCTGCCCGGGCCCTCGCCGACATCCCTCCCAGCTCCTCAGAGCGGCACCGTCGGCCAACACGGGCCGCCATCCGGTGACCCAGACGTTGGCAGGTCCCAGTGCAATTTCAGGCTTTAATAACAGGAAAGAATGTAGCACCTGAAGGCACTATTCGGAATGTTTTTATACAATGAAGCTCAAATAATGCCCAGGCTTCCAGAGAACTATCTGCGGAAGGCAATGTTCAGTTTAATCCCTTTGATGTATGGAAAACATCCCCAGGTGCTCCGGAGTGGCTGGCACATTGCATTTGTGATCCTCGCTGTTCACACGGAAGGGTGTGCTCTGACACAAGGTGCGGGTTTTAGGGACAGAGGAGGGGGGGTGCTTTGGGGCTGTATGGAATCCGGAGGGTGCTGGTCCCTCCGGGCTCTCGAGTACAAGGAAAATGTATCCACCCGTAGATCACTGCCTCCGGTTCTCTGTTTCTGTATCTCGTTCGTCTTAAGGATACTATGCGACTGGAAACCAGAAATGGTTTTAAAATGATGACTCCGAGTGTAACATCTGAAAGTAGATTAGACATCGGGTCACTTCCCTTGGCGACTTTATACGACGACCTGAGCGCTTTTCCGGTCTTCATCCAAGACTTCGAAGGGTGCCTGCTGTCGCGACAGAGGACGCCAGGAACTTGAAATGTTCCAGGACGAACATGTCCTTAAACCAACCGGTCCCGTTTCTTTACGTGTCACACCAACTTACTGTGGTCTGTAATCTGCTTTCACAAAACGTAAGAGTGAACTTCCTTTAAGAAATTTAGGAGTGGGTGAGAGTTACGTCACCTACACTGCGGTTCGGTGATTTACATCTCGGCTAAAGGCGTCTTTCGGAACAAGGTGACGAGTGGTAAGTCAGCAGCTTCCTCCTCCCAGCGGCTGCTCGGCCACCTGGATCCGACCTTCGCTCCAGTGGCCGTCGAACGTCCTGCTCACAGCCCGTGACCCCTGAAATCCTCTGCTTGCTGAATGGACGGGCTTTCCTGGTGACCCACGCGGACGGCCAGGTGTGCGGGGAGAGGTCACCAGAGGCAGGAATGACACAGCCGCTTGCTTCTCCGGGACTTTCCGAAGGACGGGTTGCTGTCCCGCGGTTCTCCGCAGCAGCATTGCTCGGTGACCCTCCCACCTCTGGGGGGACACTGCGAGCGGTGACATCCCTCAGCCTCGAGCAAAACTGGGACCGAGGACAACGAAGCATCGCTTCCTGTTGTGGAGACAAGCTCACCTCTGGAGGACAGTCCACTTCAGAGCCCGCCTGCACCATCCTTCCGTGTCCGAGCCAAAGCCTTGCCCTGTGACGCTGCAGCACCCCCCAAGTTCACGGAGGGATATGCCCCACCCTGGGGAACAGGGAAAAGCCCTCATTTTTCAGAAACCTTGGGCCATCTCAAGCATTCTGAAGAAGCTCCAAAGTCAGACATAAATACAAAGGTGTGGAAATTCCAAAAGTAAATAGAATATAAACAAAACCAAATAGGTATTTAGAGGGAGGGGTGCATGGGTATTTAATATTATTCTGTTAAATTGCCTTTTCATTTAGTTTTTTGCCAGAACCTTTAGAAGTGTATACTTTATTTTGTATCTCCTTAGAACAGCTACTAAAATCTAAACGTTTACGAAATATTTTTCTCCACGAGATAAACTATAATAGACTTGATGTCATCTTTCAGAGAGTGAGATGCTCTCCGGAAATAATTGGATCAATATCTGTTCCCTGCCCGGGTCAGATACACCAGGTGAGATTTTGTCTTTGTCGTAGAAACAGATTTGTGGCAACCTAAAAGTGTTAATGTTTTTATTAAATAATTCTATTATAAATAAAGGAATACCCTCAATTTCTTAAAACCCAAAAGATGGAAATGGGACGTTTTCAGCGTGTTCACTGGAGACGCGGTCCGTGGGGTGTCGGGAGGCGGCGGGCGCGGCCGCGACCTTTACCTTGATACACGAAATGGAAACCTCGGGCCGACGCCCCGCTCTTGGCGCTGAATCGGAGCAGAATCTGATTGGATGTCGCCAAGGGCAGCGTCTCTCCTGTGGGAACAGAACAGAGATGACACACGGATCCCCACACTCACGCTGCTGAGGCGACAACAGTGTTTTAGCAAATCATTACTACCTTGGAATCGGACATGTACATTTCTGAATTCTCACAGAACTGCACTTCAGGGTTTAGAATCCAAACACATTGTTTCTATAGAGATTGTCAAGCTCGCCCTGGCCGGTTTGGCTCAGCGGTGAGAGCGTTGGCCCGTGGACCAGGGTTCGGTTCCCGCTGGGGGCACGTGCCTCGGTTGCAGTTTGTCCCCGGCCGGGGCCGTGTGGGTGGCAGCCACTTGATGTGTCTCTCACATCGATGTTTCTCTCTCTCTTCCTCCCTCTCTCCCTCCTGCTCTGTCTGAAGATGAATGTAAAAGTGTCCTTGAGTGAGGATTAAAAATAAAAAAAATATCCCTAGTTGTTTTGGCTCAGTGGTTAGAGCGTCGGCCTGCGGTCCAGAGAGAGGCAGGTTTGGTTCCCGCTAAGGGCATGTACCTCGGTTGCAGTTTGTCCCCGGCCCTGGTTGGGTGGTGCGGGAGGCAGCCACTCGATGTGTCCCTTTCACGTCGATGTTTCTCTCTCTCTCTCTCCCTTCCACTCTGTCTGAACAAAAAATGGAAAAACGTCCTCGGGTGAAGATAAAAAAATAAAATAAAATAAAATAAAAAAGACCATCAAGCTCCATTCTTGCTTGCACGTTCCATTAAATGTTATTCTAACCACAACCTCGTCTGCCTTCTTTTGAAAACCTCCCTGACAACAGGCCCATCCGCTGTTATATAAGAATTGGGGGGATCACTGGTGCAGAATCAGCTTTCTTCGATAATTTGCTAAGATTTTACTTGAAATTGGCAAGATGTCTCTGAATCCCAAGCTGATTTGTTTTAAAAAAAATAAAGGATTTAGGGAAAACCTCATGAAGCACATTTCCACCTCTGACTGAAATATGGGCGCTGAGCAAAGGTGACCGCTGTGAACCGCGAGCCCTCTCCAGTGGGCGTTTCAATGTGGCCACAAATTAAACGTGTGTCTCCTGGTGCAGTTCCAGACCTCACGTCACTGGGCACTGGCAGACGTGACCGAGACACGGGTCTGAAGGCCTCTGGTCAATAGTAACACTGGGGACCTTAGTAATAGCGGACCTTAGCCTGGTTTGGCCACAGCCTGTGACGCACACAGAGGGCGTCCCTGAGCCGAGTGACTGGTGGAAGCAGCAGAGCCACTGACCGGCGTGCTCCGCGAGGGTGAGGTGGCCCGGGCGCCTCCCCCGCCCCCCTGCCTACTGCCCAGAACTAAACCAGGGCCGCTCGCTCTCTGACGGGGGAGACCACATGGTCCTGCTGGAAAACATGGAGGACAAGCAACCTGGGAACTCACGCCCCGGGCTTCAGGAAGCCCCACCCATGTTCACACGCACACAGGCACGGATGCACATGCGTGTGAACACATGTATTGTTCACACGTGCGAGTGTAGTGGGTCTATACGGGTTTTTACAGGGTTCAAGTGATTGAGACCAAAACGTTAACACCGTTTAGCTCCAGGAGCAAGACCACACACAGAGTAGAAAATGATACACACAAAATTGTTATGCCTTTTTAAAAATATTTTCTATTTTTGGTGAGATGCCTATTATATTTTTTATAATCTTAGTAAGTAAAATGATAAAAGCAAACAGTTTTATATATGGGATAAAAGTACATTTGGAAATATTTGATCAAAGTTAAAGTTTAAATAAACACATTCAAAGATGATTAAATTTCCTCGCAACACACACGCACACTCACACACCGACACATGCACACACATACGTGTCACTCATACCCACACATGCACACACCCGTGTGCACACATGCACACACACCTACACACACTCACACCCACACATGCACACACCCGTGCGCACACGCGCACACACACCTGCACACATTCACGCGCGTGCACACGTGCGTCACTCACACCCACACATGCATACAAGCACACCCACACACGCACACATGCACACACACGTGCGTCACTCATACCCACACATGCACACACCCGTGTGCCCACACCCACACATGCACACACCCGCGTGCACGCACACACACACACAGTTGAAAAGCGATCACTTTGCTGCGTGAAAGAGCAGAGCCAAACCCTCGCAGGGCTACCTGAGTGCGACCCGGACAGCGAGCTGAGCAGCCTGGCCTGCGGATGCGCCCCGTCAAACAGGTCGGCTACGTCGTTCAGCGCTGTCTGGAAGTAGGCGAACTGTCCGAACACCACTGTGAAAGGAGGGGGCACAGCCTGTTACAGGGGGGCACGGAGATGCTGGCTGACTACCGACCGACCCAGCCCCCCAAGGTCAGGACCCTGAGAATCCTGTGGAAATCATACACGTATTTTCTCTGCTTTCTGAAACTTTTCAGTTGCTAAGACAATTTCTGTGTCTGGACCTTCTGGTCCTCACTGAAAGCAACACGCTCACTGGGTTCTGCACGGTTGGAGCATGAACGCAGATGCTCTCTCTCCAAGTCTGCGCGGGGAGGGCGGAGGTCGCCGTGAAGCTGCCCGGGGCGTGAGCCGCATGACGCGGTGGGGCCAAGGCTCCTGCTGGCTTTGAAAACATGCTCCTTCGGGGAGGAAGTTAAGACTCCTCAGCTATGACCATCTTCACGCCAAATGTGTGTGGATCTTGCGTTTCCACACGCGATTCGGCCGCGCCCTGCAGAAACCACGGTCACCACTGACCCTGACGTCGTTGATCCTCCACCTTCTCCGAGGCGACTGCAGCCGTGGGCTTTCCTGCCTCAGCCGGGTCCGTCTGCTCACGTCGGCACGTCCCGGGCCTTCACCCGTGTGGGAAACTTGTGACTTGCGTCGATTTGCAAACACGGAGGAAGGAACTCCATCCTGTGCATGTGTCGGGTTGAAGCTGAAGTCAGTCCCCAGTGCTGTGTGCTCAGCAGAGGCGCGTGTGCCAAGTGTACACGTTGGAATTCTCACGAGAGAACCGAGGCCAGTGTTGGCAAAGGGGGCACCCCTAACTAACGGCTCCTGTGTGCGCGTATGTGTTCAGCTACATGTGCGGCCTGTGTTCTGTTGCACACGCATATTCCATGTAGTACATATATGTAACAGAACACACACTCCCGCACACACACGGATTACAGGATACACGTGCACAAGGGCCATTTCCCAGTGGACGATGCATTCGAAATGAAGAGAGAAGAGACGGGAGGACCTCGGCCAGGTGCTGGCTTACGCAACGCCTGCCTCCGCCATCCCAGCTCTAAGGACAGACGGACACCCCTGGCCCGCTCTGAGGCGAAGGACTGAGTGAACGGTGTTCATCAAGGTGCGTGCGTGGCCCGACCTTCTGTTTCCAAAGGATGCTTTGGTGACGCTTTTGGGTGGAAAAGGGGAGATTACTGTGGTCCCTGAGCCCATCCCTGCTGTTCTTCCCACTGAGCCTGTGTGCCCCAGGGTAAGGCGTCCTTCCTGCCTCCGGACGTCACCCCAGCCACGGTACCTGCTCACCACCTCCAGGGCACAGACTACATTTCATTCATCTTGATACTTATCACAGCTGTTGGACTGATTTATTCCCCATGGGGAGAAAAAGAAAAAAATGTGGAAAAAAAATTAAACTTAAGACAGTATAGAGTATCATAAAATATTCCCTATAACTATTTTATTCCAATTACAGTTGTCACCCAGATAGATAATACATGATGGGACCGGACATTTCATATTGGAAATTTTTATCAATATTTAGCATTGGAGGGGGTGAGTTGTTTTTTTTTTTCTCTTTCCTGCTGAAAAATCCTAATTGTGTCATGGCAACTCAATAACATTTTGCAATACATTTCAGTGACAGAATGTAGATGACCAGGATAGGAGTTTACGGAAATCATTCGGTTTCTCCCATAAGCATAGTTCTTGCCCATCAATGTTCTTGCCAAAAATTGTGGTTTTGAAAATGTTCTCCCTCCGATGGCTTCTGACATGAGAATTCTTATCTGCTTTACCTCTGTGAGGGGTGAGGGAGGAAGCCTGGCCCTGCAGGATTTCAGTTCTACTCTTGCAAAAAGAACGGGTCGATGCGATGATAAAACCTACTGCCTGGTTGGCTCTAGGAAAGAACCCAACACAGAAGAAATGTTCCTGGTCAACAGGGAGGGCGGAGATGCCAGGGTGCAGCGCTGAGTTAGCCGGCTGTGCGGCCACCAGGGGACACCCTTCTAGAAAGGAGGCCACTCGAACCCTGGCTCTGATCAGAAGCAAAGTCTGGGAGGGAGACTCGGGAGGTCGGCTTCCAGGGGTGAGCGAGGACCCAGCCTGCTCCCCGGCTCCGGTCACTCACAGGCGTGCGGCGTCCACCACAACACCGCAGGGTCCCCGCCCCCACGCTGCTTGGAGACTCTCCCTGACGCCTGGAAACCACTGACCGGAACAATGCTCTCTAACAAAAATGAGAAGAAAGGCAGACTTCTTCTTTCTGATTATTCTGGATCCGAATCCTGGAAAGAGAGGAAAGTGTGTTCTGTGCTCTTCAGAAGAGTGGTAGTCGGTACCGTGTGGGACGGACCTGGAGCACCTGTCACTCAGACGCACGTCTTCCTTGGAGGGTTTTGTTACAGCAGGAGCCGGAACAGTTGTTTGTAACATGACAGAAAAAGTAACACCGAAAATATGACAATGAATTAAAAGTACAAAGAAAAAATTCTTACCAAATTCCTTTGGCACCGCTATGGAATAGAGGCATGTCTGGCCCGCTGTGTAGTTCTGAGGGTAATTGGGGGACAGTACCACCCCCTCCGATCCAGTGTACTGGCCTCCGCAGGGAGCTGGAAGGGAAGGGAACCCAGTTATGGGCCTGCGATGGCCCTGCTGGGGGGCAGGCGGCCGGGTACGAGCGCAGTGCACAGTGTCACCGAAACGCGCACAGAATGTCCTGGTCAGCACCACTGTACTTTGCTACCCAGAGTCAAAAGGAAAATAGAAACAAATATTTACCAGGTTAGAATAGAAGTAGGTTAATTTAGCAGAAAGACACAAGGTTAGATTAAGGCCTTTCTCAGACATGCTGAAGTAATCATGGAAACGGCTCTAACTGTAATTAATAATAATAATACCAGGTTCAATAAAGACATGTCAGTGGGTGACTGAAAGTCCCACCAGACACTTCTGGTTGGCGTCCATCATTGTATTAACCTGGGAGACGCACAGATCACCCCGTCTCCTGCTGTCCTGCATTTCCTCCGGGAGAAAAGAACATGTTCTCGCAGAGCCTGTCTGTTGGTTCCAACCTCCAGTCTCACAGATTTGGCTCAACAGCAACGTGAATAACCACGAATGTGTCAACGGGTCTCTCAAAAAGTTTGATTTAAAGCGGAAGGAACCAAAACCCAGAAAGTTGGGGCAGATGCGATGGTGGGTGTTGATCACAGACAGTGCTGTGGATCTGGGCGTTTCTGAGTGTGCATTTGTGAGTGTGCAGGTGTGGGTGCGAGTGTGAGTGTGTGAGGGTGTGTATGTGCGGGTGCGAGGGTGTGTGTGTGAGGGTGTGTGTGTGTGTGAGGGTGTGTGTGTGTGTGAGGGTGTGTGAGTGAGGGTGTGGGTGCAGGTGTGGGTGCGAGGGTGTGTGTGTGTGTGAGGGTGTGTGTGTGTGTGAGGGTGTGTGAGTGAGGGTGTGGGTGCAGGTGTGGGTGTGAGGGTGCCTTTTTTCCCCTTTCGTCTCAGCTGTGAAGAGACCAGAAAGGAGGGACAGGCATGTTTTATGAACGTCCTAAAGCACCGAGCACAACTTAAGGTCCCCGTGGTTCAGCAGTTTCCGACACGTACATGAGCAGAAGGCGTTGGTGCATAAACCGGCCTTCGTAACCATGACGCAAACACAAGAAAAACACCTTATCTAGAGCTAAGGAGTCCACAAAATTCCTTCACGATTCACTTTGCATATGCATTTATATACAGTATGCGTATGTTTAATGTAGATTTAAGCATATGATGAACGTGTATTTTTCTTTATTGTGTATACGTATATATGTCAAGAGTAACTTACATACATAAAAGGTGATTTTCTCCAATAAATAAACAGGAGTTTTAGGTTACTTTTTTAATCATTTGAGACAAATACCGTTTCTCAGGCCCTTCCAAATGTATGAGACTATCGGGTGTTAATAAAAGGCCTTTGTATTTTAAGTACAATTTCTATAAGATGCAATTCTGGCTTTCTGTTCAGAGTGGTGTCGCGTGGATCCTTGGGTGTGTCCTCCGTGCCTACATCTTCATGTGGCCGCTGACACCGCAAACATGGGCAGAAGTGGCCACGGTCCCTGCCTGGGGGAGGCCACGGTGCTGTGCGAGGCTCCCCCCCCCCGTGTCACCTGCTCCCCCAGACGGCACGGCATCTCTGTGGCTTTCACTGTGACCGGATGTGCAGATGGCGCCCCGTCCCGTGCAGGGACACAGGTCTGTGGCCCCACCGCCTCTGGACGATGTGATTTTGCAGTTCCTATAACAACTGGACTCGGCGGTCCCCTCATCCTCCAGAAGAGGGTGATGCTGCTGCTGACTCAGACCTGTCCACAGTCTTGACGTTAATACCCCTGGCCGGTGTGGCTCAATGGTTACAGCATCAGCCCCTGGACCGAAGGGTCTCGGGTTCGGTTCCCGGTCAAGGGCACATACTTGAGTTGTGGGTTTGATCCCTGGCCCTTAGGTGGGTTGTCTGGGAGGCAACCCGTCAAAGTGTCTCACATCAATGGGTGTTTCTCTCTCTCTCTCTCGTCCTCCCTCTCTTCCACTCTCTCTAAAAATCAATGGACAAATATCCTTGCATGAGGATTAACAACAAAAAGCAGAGTAAACATTACAGGCAGGGCCTCAGCATGTTCACTTCCTCTTCCCACACCCCTCAGCCTTGTGTACGTTCTGAACCATGAGCGTGGTCCGTGTCACTGTCGGAGGGTAAAGCACGTGCCACCAGGACCACCCAGGCTGGGCTTCCTGCACTGGGCTCATTCCAACCAGCCCCGGCGCCCCGTCTCCTCGGAAACTCTTATGTCTGAGTTCTCAGGGGTCCGCATGGGCCAGGCCTGCCGGCAGGGCCCTGCTAAGAACCACCCAGGGGGTTCAGACAGACAGGCAGACGGAAGTAGAGAACATGCCAGGGCGCCAGGTTCGTCTGGTTTGGTTTTCCACACTTTAATTTTATAAAGACCTATGTGGGCAGGAGGCTCCAGTAGAACCGTGCAGGGTCCTGGGGGGAATGTCTTTGCTCTGCATGTCGGCATCTCTACCCGCACGGTCCTGCGTCCGCCCTACGGTGACCTTGGGATCAGCTTTTCCGGGCAGATTATGGCTTCTTACTGTCTTCTCTGCGATGAGCACAGAGTTCGGGGAGCCAGTCGTCCCCCCAGCTGAGGAGTGTTCTCCGTGGAGACAGATGCCCAGGCCGCCACCCACCAATATGGCCAGTGACTCAGACTGTCCTTCTGCCTCTGCGGCCAGTGCCTCCCCTGGGGCCACCGCCCTCTGGCCTCTGTCACTGGGGGTGACTCGTCTGTTCTCGGAGGTGGATCTCAACCTTCTTTTTTTTTTTTTTAATTTTTTTCTTTTCCTTTATTGATTTTTTGGAGAGAGAGGAAGTGAGAAGGAAAGAGAGAGAAACATCTATGAGAGAGAACATCGACTGGCCGCCCCCTGCGTGTCCCCCACTGGGGATCAGGCCCACAACCTGGGCATGTGCCCTGACAGGGAATCGAACCGGCGACCTCTTGGTGCAGGGTCAATGCTCACCACTGAGCCACAGCAGCCAGATGGATCTCACTTTTCAACAGGTGATTTCATCAACTGAATATTTGTTTAAGGAATTACGAACTTAATTATGGGGGAATCACACACCAATTTCAATGTTGTATGTGTACATATGTAACCTGTGTATATTCCATGTATGTAAAGGGAGAGGAACAGGTGAGACCGAGCACCTGGAGGCTGCTCATCGGAACATCCCTGCAGATCGGGTCTGGAACACAAAGCGGAGGCTGAAATGCCAAGGCCTCTCGGGGAGAAACAGTGACCCCTCCAGAGACCTGGGGATGGTGAAGACCTGGCTGACCGAAGGGCGGAGGGAGGTCGCGCAGGCCCCCTCCTCAGCTCGGGAGCGAGCACCCCCGGCGGAGACCAGGGCAGGCAGTGCGGAGGGCGGGCGTGTGCCCTGGGGCTGGCACGGCAAAGGCCTGCGTGCGGGGGACCGGCCAGCACACCTACCCCTGCAGGACGGCAGGGCCTGGTTCCAGGCCGGCTTCCCGTCGGCCCCGAGCACACACGAGATGGACGAGGCGTCGGCGAGCTTGTAGCCGGAGTCGCACTGGTAGGTCACGCTGGAGCCCAGCTTGAAATCGGTCCCGACTCTGGTCCCGTTCATTATATTCCCAGGGTCAAAACAGGCTTCCCGGGGCTTCTCTGCAGAGGAAACGGGGTGAACGGCATGAGGTCAGGCAGCTCGAGGCTGGTTTGTTTGCTTGTCTGGTTGCTTTTTTCTTACTGCCTAGAACAGGACCTGACATCTGAGAGATGCTCAGGAACTATCGATCGATTGACTAATAACCAAGTTGTTAATTCTCAAATCAATCGCTGCATATACTAGAAATGATTATCAAGTTACTATCAAGTTAACAAATAAATAAAGAAAAATAGAAAAACTTTCGCTAAGAGTATATTTCTTATTTTTCAAACTATATGTTGCTACAGAATTGCTATTAAATTATTTTACTCTTGGTAATAACATCTGCTACGTTATTTTTTTATACATCTATTATCCGTTTTTTTTTTTACTATGGGTTCTAGTACAAAACCAAAGAACTTGATTTTGGAAAAACAGACTTTTGTACGGAAATCACAACTTGCCTAGGGAGACATGGGAGGGTCTGACTTCTCACGGGGAGATTGGTTTCATTCACACACGTTTTTTTATTGACTTTATTGCACTGACTTTGGTTAATAAAAATATATAGGTTTCAGGTGTACGATCCTATAACACATCATCTGTACACTGTACCGTGTGTTCACCACCCAAGTCCCGTCCCCTTCCCCCTTCTCTGCCTCCCCCTCCCCCCTGGCCATCACCACACTGTGCTCTGTGTCTTCACCTTCTTCTTACACCAGCAACAGCAAGTGGACTGAGAAACAGCATGGAGAGGGGTCATGACCTGCAGCACCGCCCAAGTCACAGTGAAAGCAGGAAAAACCCACTCACTGATCAGTACGCATCAAGCCCTGCGTCCGGATGCGTTCATTACCCGACAAATCTATCCTAATCGTGACAGCGGCTCTGGGACATGGGAGCCTGTGGGCACTGAGCTGGGCACTGAGCTGGGCACTGAGCTGGGTGCCTTCAACGCTGACCTTCAGTGCACCTCCCCAAGGTCAACACTGGGTCCAGCTCATTCCAAACTTGAGAATCTGGAGTTGCCGAAAAGTTACATGACTTTCACGAAAAAGAGACTGCAGAGACCTGTCCACCGGCGGGGCCACCGGACAAGGCATTCACTAAAACTCACCTTTTCCCAAATCTGAATTCTCAGTCGTCTTATTTTTCTCTCAGTCTTGTTGCTAGGTGGGGAAATCTAGTCCACGCCAGTAGACTTACTCTGTAAAACGTCCTGTTTCAACAGACCTCCCAAAATATCTCCACATGAAAAAGGCATGTATGTCTTTACACTGTATGTGACTTCATCGTTTGAACTGTCTTTTATTTATACTCATCAACATTCCTCACTCCATCATCCAAGTGCTTGTTAGGTCAGCAGTGTGTGGATTTCACGTATCTTCACACGAGCGTACAGAGTCCTCTGAAGTGTGCCTCTTCATGTGTTAGCGTAAGGCTTTAAAAACACGACTCGGCAGGTGCGCACGTGTTTGTGTGTGTGCGTCCATGTGTTTGTGTGTGCATGTGTGTGTGTGTGTGTGAATGGGGTTAGTGATACCTCTACAGGCTCAAGGATAATCTGAGTAGACACAATGAACACACTCTGTTCGTTCCTTCGGGTCTGAGGGCTCTACCGCTGCACAGCGTGTGCATGACAATTTCCTCATTGGCTGTAGAAAACCCGGTGTCACCCACACGTGAGCCTTCCTCACAGTGCACCACCCCCGAGGAGTGGACGGCACGGAGAAGAGGAAGCATGCCCAGATGCTGGGGGCCCGCAGGGTGAACACCAGGCTGCTTCACTGCGTGTATCCGGTATCGTCCACGCCGTCGTGATTCGTGTCGGCATTGGCCAAACAGCCAGCTCCTGGGCCAGCGCTGACCGATCTGCAACATCAGCCTAGCCTACCACTCACTTACACCCTGGTCAAGATGGAACGTCTGTAAACAAACAGCGCCTCTTATACATCTCTGTATGTTCCACTTCACCATGCACATGTGTGCAAATGGGTACTGATGCATATTTACACATGCATGATAGTAATCTATTTGTCTATTATGCAATCTAATAAATTACATGTCCTAATAGATCATGTTTCTCGTGTCAGGTGCATGTACAGTAATGTTTACATGAAACATGACACCTTCCTGCAGGTCCCTGCCTGGCCCGTGTGCTGTGCTCACTGAGTTACCCAGAGCCTCTGTTATTTCTAAGGGTAGGGCGTTTGAATGATTCTCTAATTGCCCGAGAGCCCCGGAGAACACAGACACTTGTTTGCATCATTCAGGAGAGACCACCCAGGAGCGGGCGCAGGCTGCTGAGACGGTGGTTTCCAGAGTCTGTGGGGTGCTGAGCACCCCTCACCCAGCCCTGCCGCCCCCCTGCGGCCTGGTCAGCCTGTGGGTCATTTCTTGTTCTAAAACACACGTTTTGAGCCTGTGGAGTTAGAACCTCCAACACCATGCCCTGCTCTGTGCTGGGAAGTGTGGTTTCTGGGCAGGTGTTGTACATTCCTGGACGTGAGCTGTGTCCAGTCCTATGGTCCTGGTCCCCGGGCGTCAGTCAGGATGCATGGTGATCAGTTACAGGCAGCGCTGTTGCCATGCTAATGGGGGGACTTCATCACACGGTGGGTTTCGCTGTGGCTGAGCCCCTTCGGCTCATGGACACCTCCAGGCCCCTGCAGGTCCCCAGACCATCCCGCAGCCCGGCCGCTCGGGGCCCCGCCCACTTCCTGTCCTGACCTGCAGGGGCCTGTCTCCCCTGTATTCTCTTTGACCCCACACGCCACCGGAGAACTTCCAACCCGCTAGGAGCAGTACCCCCCGTTTAGATGGCTATTGTGGTCACCGAAGGACCACAAGGCACAGGGCAGCTCACTCGTCCCTCGTGCCCGAGCCCCCTCTCCGGCGGCCCGGGCACGCGCGGCAGTGTTCTCAGGCTGCGGTGCAGGGCGCCCTCCCGTCTCTCCCGTGGAGAACGGACACGGGCTGCCCTGATGATGCAGCAGCGGCCTGGACACCTGTCGAAGGCGGAGCCCTACTCTCGCCAGCCCCTCGCCAACACCAACAGGTCCCGTCCAGAAGCACAGCAGCTCCTCTGAGGGCTGAACTGTCTTTCTATTGTGCATTTTTAATAAAGGGCAGCAAGTATAGATTTTGCTGTTTGGGGGGGTGGGAAGATTACTTTTCTATTTAAAACCATATAAAGAAATACAAGTCCACTGAAATGTTAAGATAGATGAAACATATATTTTGTTTTAATATTGTAATAATAGCCCTGGCCAGTCCGCTCAGTGGTTAGAGCATCAGCCCAGGGACCAAAGGGTCCTGAGTTTGACTCCGGTCGAGGGCACCTGCCTGGTCAGGGTTGTTCAGGAGGCAACCAATCGATGTGTCTCTCACATCAGTGTCTCTCTCTGTCCCCTCCTCTCTCCCTTCCACTTTATCTAAAATTCAATAGAAAAATATCATCAAGTGATGATTCACAAAAAATAAAATAAAGTAAAATTCTAATAGCTAATAGCTAACTCAAGAGTTTATGTGTGTGTGTATATATCTACACACACACACACACACACACACACAAATACATTCTATAATAAAGCACCCACTACCATGAATTGGTATTTGGTGAAGCCCTTATCCCTCATTCTCTGTAATATCACTTGCCTCTTCTTCGCTCACATGGGAAATGGATTTGGAAAACACATATATGTTTCCATGGACCTCACAGCAACACGCTTACTTAGGGTGCATTTTGTCTGTGTGTGTCTGTTTGCTTTCTCTGGGTGCGGCTGACAGCACCTGTGGGTCCCGAATGGAGCGGGGGACACGGATCTGGTGACCACGAAGACAGACCCAGGCTCGGCACTCAGCCCCCCCATGCCGGGCATTTCACACCAGGACATACGGAGCTAAAACTAAGGCCCTTACGTCTAGTCGTCCTGAAGAAACAAACTAGAAGCTGTTAAATAAAACATATCTTAAAATAAAATAAAATAAAATCACTCTTAAATATGACCAAGTTCTTCATTGCGCAGACCGCGACTTATTTTTCGGTGACCATGGGAAACATCTCCCGCGCGGCAGGACGGGGCGGGTGCCTGGAACCCCCTCTCCACGGGGGGGACAGCCGACCCGGGCACACGGGGTGATGCTGCAGGACTCACGAAGTGAGGCCCGGGGCGCCACAGCCCCACACGCCCACGGCACGCGGGAAGCGGCCCTCCGTACCTTTGAACTCGATGGCGAAGCCGGACAAGCCCACGGAGGCGTCGCTCCGGAAGGCCAGGAACAGGCTGCTGCCGCTGCTCTCGATGCGCTCGGGGGCCTGTGCACCCTGGAAGCTGCCGACCAGCGGGCTGTTGGAGTCCTGGCCCTCGTAGATGTGCAGGAAGTCGTAGCTGGGCTCCATGTTGAAGCTGCAGAGAAGAGCCGGACACTCAGACACCCCGCCGGACGCTCAGACACCCCGCCGGACGCTCGGACACCCCGCCGGACGCTCAGACACCCTGCCAGCCCGCCAGGCCCGCTGGCCCAGAGGGCACCCGGGACCGTCTGCGCCTGTGACTTTCCGAGAGCCAGACGCTCCGACAGGTGCATGTAGCTAAGCGTCAAGCCGGGGACACTGTAACGGACACCCGTCGGAATAAATGCTCTCACTGTACACGACTGTCATATTCAAGGCAGTACAGCGTGAAAGATGCCGGAGCAAAGGGTCCCAGGGACACGGACAGGATGCCCTTCCCTGCACCGGGAACTCGCTGGGAAGCGAGGTTTCAGAGAACTGGGCTCAGGAGAGGAACGGCCGCTGACGCGTGTTCTTTATGTGAATGACTCTCTTTTGTTTGTTTGTTTCTAATCCTCACCTGGGGATATTTTTTTTTCCTATTTATCTTCAGATAGAGTGTGAGGGGGAGAGAGAGAGGAAGAGAGAGACAGAGACATCGATGGGAGAGAGACACATCGACTGATTGCCTCCTGCACGACCCCGACCAGGACCAGGGACCAAACGGCAAGGAGGCACGTGCCCCCGACCAGAATCGAACCTGGGAGACTCTGGTCCGCAGGCCGACGCTCTAACCGCTGAGCCAAACCGGCCAGGGTGCTTATGTGAATGTTTTTAGTTTTGAAAATATGTACCATTGGTAGTACTGACTTTTCTCAAAGTGTTGAATTTCTTAAAGAAAATTCTCCTGGTTCGTTTTGCTTTAAGGAATGCAATGACCTCCACCTGCCTCGGCGACCCGGCCAACGCGGCAGTTTCGCCAACGGGACAGAGCGCGTGGCTCAGGTCACCTCTCCATCACCGGGTACCTGTGCTCTCTTCCCTCTGCCCTGTTTCTCTCTCAGCCTCTCTGTCCCCTGACGTTAATATCCTGGGACTCCCCAGAGGGTCTGCCACTTGGACCCGAGGCTGTCCCGAGGGCTGTGGCTTTTACCCGCCTGGACGCTGGGAGGCTGACGGGTGAGGGGTCGGCGGTTCAGCGTCTGCAGGGTGGAGACCCTGGGCCGGGGCGGGGAGGGCAGAGTGGGATGGTGTGGGGTTTCATCCCAAGCTACTTTGAAAACATAAATGGTTTATTTCTGGATTTAATATTCCCATGCTAGTGGACCACGGGTAACTGAAACTGCGGAAAGCAAAACCATGGATCGGGGGTGAGGGTATGTTGATCGGAGAGAGTGTGCAGGGTTTCCAGTCTGCTCATGGGACACGCGCCCTGAAGTAACAGGCCTGGGGGCGAGCCGCAGGGGCCAGGCACAGCTGGGTGGGAGCAGGAACTCTGTTAGGAATACTTTACAGAGATGTCATTAGAGTCTGGCCACGCTGCCCCCAACAACTGGCCTCCATGATGCTATTGTAGGTAATTTTTGGACGCTGGAAATACACTGAGGCACAGAAAGCAGACACATTCTAACGGCGCTCTGTTTCTGGAAGTATCACAAGCCACAGGTTGAAGTCTGGAGTTACTTCGTAAGTTAGTTACTTTGTAACTAATGATGGTTCCATTGGTGAAATCAGCCTTTATTCTGCCCCAGGAAGTCTGGCCAAGCTTTTCACCAAATGTGATCTGAGTTCCATCTGGTGACGGGCACGTGAGAACACATCCCCTAAAGACTCCAGGGGAGGGTGAGCGTGGGCACTCACATGTGTCCCGGGTCACGTGTACCCCATCTCTGTCCCCCCACCCCCAGGGAAGCGGCCCTGAGTTAGCCTCGCTCTTACACTGTCCTGGGCAGCAGGGCCCTGCGTGGCCGGCTGAGCATCCCGCCCCGCCCAGGACTCGGGCCCCCTCTCCGACTCTCAGGACGTCCCAGGACGCCCCCGGCACACACGCTGTCCGCAGTGCAGCGGTCACAGGTGTCTGCCTTGTCTGGGACACTGGCTCAGCTAAGGGTTCATGAAACCTAGGGGCAGGGCGAGAACTTGGAGACTTCGGCCTCAACCCTCTTCCAGAGACGCACAAAAAGAAGCTAAGACGTCTGAGCTACTTTCTGTCGGACAAAATGTGCTGTGCTTGGTGATGAGTCACGGGTAGGAGAGTCCTGCCAGGAGGCCCCTGTTCTGTAAAATCGGAGAATGGTCCATGAACCTGTAATCTCCGGGCACCGGCTGCTCGCGTTTGGTACTAACCAAACTGGAGGTTTCCGGAATCAGGCCGCGCCTCCCTGGCTCCCCTGACAGCTGAGTGGCATGGGGACGTGGTTATTGGTAACTGCACTGTGGTTTGAGTGAATTCAGGAAATGAAGGCTTATCAGACTCCTTGACATTCAGACTCCAGCAGGGTTACAATTATCCTGATCGCATCAGGGTGAGAAGGGGCAGCTGGTCATCAGAACCAGGCCCTGAACGCGGGTGGAAATATCTCCAGAGCAGGAAACCCACTCTCCTGGACACCATGGGACCCCTCATCCTCCAAATATCCTTCCTGAAACTCAGAACTCAGAATGCGAAGGTGGAGAAGACCTCGGGATTAAATAGTGCAATTATGTATCGTGCAGCAGTAACATGGGGGTTCGGCAGAACGTGCTTATAGGAAAGAGTCATGCTCTGAATTCCCACCATCTAGCCGGGAGAAAGGAGTTAGCGACGTGCATGAGAAATGAAGGAAGTGCATCCCTTCTCTCTTCCTGCCCCTGCTTCTCCGGGGACACCGCGTGTGCAGGCCTGGCCTCGTCCTGTGTACCCTCACGAAGCGGAAGGCTCCCAGGAAAGGGTTTCCCACGAGGTCACCCTGCAGCCTCTCGGACACAGCAGTACTTCGCTAGAGGGAGACTCGAGGCTCTCTGAGGAGCTCCTGAAGGGGTCGCTAGGTCTGACCCCTGCAACCCTACTGCACAGGGTGTGAGGAGAGAGGTACCTTTTGAAGATCAGGGCGATGACAAAGTCCGGGTTCACCTTAATTCTCCAGTCGCATTCTTTCCCAGGAGGGTATGGCTGTGGGTAGTTTGGAGACAGGATGACACCTGCTGGGCCAGTCAGGTTCCCTCCACAGGCAGCTGTGAGGGGGGACAAGGGCAGAGGGGACACTGGTCATTGGAAAGGGAGACACCCAGGCTCATTACAACTCTGTGCTGGGTTATTCAACAATCACCCAGGTGAACTTTTAGGACCCAGGACGCCTGCCCATTGTCCCTGTAACTGTCAACGAACTGTACATACTGTCCCTCCCTGTTTTCAGGGAGCGTTTTTGAACTGTTGACACATGACATTGACTGGCTACAGTTTTAAACTTGACTCAGTTGAAACGAGCTGATGAGCTGCACTGGCCCAGACTCCCGAGTGCCCAGCAACAGGCAAATACAAACCCGGACAGGAAACCAGGTGCCCGAGATTCTGCTCGACGGGGGTGGGGGCTTGTGTCGTCTCCATGGTTTGCAAGGTCACATCAGGGCTCAGTGGACACTGCTTCCCCCGGACAACTATCCCCTTCACCCCCGATGCCCAGCCCGGCTGTGATCGTAACAAGCATCCAGGACATGTTTGCTGAATAAATACACACGGGTAAGGTCCCACGGTCCTCACCGTCCTCTAAGGTGTGCAGGGCTGGATTACTTCCCCACATTCGAAATGACACACTAACACGGAGCCTTAGAGACATCCCAGCGTTTACATCCACAGCGTCAGTGTTGGCGCTGACGTAGACAAACGAGACTTGATCACAGCGACTGGTACGGGGGGCAGATGTAGCTCGCAGCTGCGAGGCCTCGCGAGACGATTTGTTCTTGTGTCACTATTAATTTAGGGATTATTGTACCAGCGACTTGTAGAGAAACCTACTTTTGGCCAGCCCTGTACGACTACCGGAAAGAAGCATTGTAGGCGATTCTCATAAATTCACCGTTTCACAGTGATGACATTGTAATGAGATGTGTCTACATTTATATTACTGAGGCAGTAATTATGCAGTTCAATGTTACGAATAGGCAAGCCAGTGTTTGTTCTTGAACTTGAAAATGTTTAGGACCAATTCATTTATTAGAAAACATTTCTGTTAAAGCCCCCGTTGGTGGAAGGTGTTAAAACACAGAGGGATTCACAAGTGTGTGCGTTTTGGACGCCGCATGAATACGTCAGACTTAGCGTTCTGTATGCCACACTGTGGTTTGTGGCCGGATGGTTTTCAAACATCACCGGGATGAAATGGTTGTATTCCCTCTAAACTATATCTCATTTCACTTCATTGATCATATATTCATTTTGAAAATATATTACTAGAGAAGGAAATACCCTAATGGGTGATTTTTTCCATACACACAGAAAAATGACTTTTTTGTAAATAAGAGGAAGGGACATGCTTACCAATTTCCTGCTATGGATGTATCTTTAAATATGCAATATTTGTGAAGACTTAATTTTCCATAAAAAGAACTATAACAAAGTCTGATACTTTTTGTCATCACTTCAGTTTCATCAAAAGCAAACTAAATAAAAAATATTTATAATCAATTCCTTAGATCTAGTTTCAAGAGTGATGGAGTTTTCACACACACACGATTAAAACCACATTGTATCTGGGCTATGATTTCACTAAATGGAGCCGGCCCGTGTGGCTCACTGGTTGAGTGTCGTCCCATGGACTGAGAGGTCCCGGTTCGATTCCCCGTCAGGGCACATGCCCGATTGTGGGCTCATCGATGTTTCTATCTCCCTTCCTCTCTCTCTAAAAAATAACAAAATAAGTAAAGACCATGTGGGAAGGATGGTCTAATGGGCTCTCCAGGGACAGGTCTCCCTGCACCCAGTGGGCAGAGGGTGGGGCCTAGGAGCCCGGCAGAGGAGGGCCGGGCTGAGCTCCAGAGGGAAGGAGACTAAGGATCAGAGAAGGCGGCTCCACGCAGGGGCTGGGAAGGATGGAGGATGGCAGGTCCCTGCACTGTCCCTGCACTGTCCCCACCACTACGGGTGGCACCAGCATGGCAGAGTCCGGGATGGGACTCAGACGCTGATTTAAAAGAAACCAAGGGGAGGCCTGGGGCCTTCATCCACATCCCAGACATTCTCCGCGCGGTGATTTGATGGCGTCACGTGGAATGCAGCGGCACCGTCTAGCTGGGTGTGTTCTCGCGTTGGTGGGGTCCTCCTCATTTTAGCTTCCTAAGGTTTTAATTAGTGAGCTTGCAAATTATTTAGGATGGGGTTAGAATTTAGTGCAAACTCCAACCCAGACACTGTGGAAGTCTCGGAGGGAGTGGACACAGAGATCAAACCTACACACCATCCTGTGTTCAAACCTCGGGGTCCCCCATGTGTGAGACCTTCACCCTCACGGCCCCAGAAGGAGCTCGTCACAGGAGCCCATCAATGTCTCTGCCCCAAAACGTTTCACTTGTTAAACCGTCACACGGCAGGAAGAGTGTTCAGGTGCTACCCTGCAGACCGGAGCGGGATGGCGCCACCTAGTGAATCCCGGGGAACTTGGGAGATGGCCTCTGGGAGCCCTGTGGACTCGCGTGGAGAAGGAGGTGCTGAGATCTGCAAGAAGACGCTGTGCGGACCTCCCACTGCGAGGCAGCAGCGTCCTCGGGTCTGCAGAACCGGCTTTGAGACTCTGCTGAACATGCCAAGGAGGGGCCTCATGGTGGGCATCTCTGGAAGCAAAAAAGTGGCGTATCCAAGCAAACGAGCAGAAACATTCACAAATGACAAGCTGGTGAAGATACGGGTGACGCACAGAGCTAAAGGTGCTAAGATTTAAAAGGGGGGAGAGAGGGCACAGGAAGAGGGGTGAACCAACGGCCAAAGGAAAGATTAGCAGGCCGATCGGGGAAGAGAACCTTCAAATGGCCAAGAACATGAAATTAATAACAGCTGAACCTCACTAGTAATTTTTTGTTGTTGTTAACCCTCACCCAGGGATATTTTTTCCGTTGATTTTTAGAGAGAGTGGAAGTGAAGGGGAGAGAGGGGGAAACATTGATGTGAGAGAGACATCAACTGCCTCCTACATGCACCTCGACCGGGATTGGAGATTGAACCTGCGACCCAGGTGGGTGCCCTTGCCTGGGAATCGAACCCATGACCCTTGGTGTGAGGACGGATGCTCTAATCACCGAGACACACTGGCCAGGCTAACCTGACTATTAATTTAAAATGCCAGTTAAAACACCAAGCAATCATCGCTCTCCGTTCATATTAAATCATGAGGTTAAGAAATATCACATATGGTGTTTTTTTCTTGGTTGGGAAGTAAACGCTCAGGTCTGGTTGATGGTGATCCCACCGGTGGAACCTCTCTGAGTCTCGAAAAATGTTTGTAGGGCCCTAGAAACACATACGTTTGCAGACGTGCACCATTCGTAAGTAACTGTGTGCTTTCCAATATGAGTGATCCCTGCAGGAGTCTTCACGAAGGCCGAGGGCTCCAGGACCTAACCGCGCGGGGAGGGTCCGTGGGTCAGCGCAGGTCACCCTCACTGAGCACCGGGACCCTCTCCTAGGGAACACAGCTAACGCAGGAAAGCACATCATACTCTTGGAAAGAAAATGTGCAATTTGCAAACTAATGGAGCAGGATGCTGCCACCTAAAATGTTAAGCAGATTCTACCTACACACAATAACCATGAACTTGACTTATGCATGTTTATGTGCACAGTAATTGCCTCTAGGTAAAAAGATGTCAGTTTTTTCTCTTCTTTTTTCTTAACAAAACGAATACAACTTCTGCAATAAACACGCATTTTCTTTTAAATAGGAAAAAAGCTAAATAAAATAAAATGTACGAGTACCAGTTCCTTACAGAGGGCATAAGCCACATTTTGGGGGTGTTTGGGGGGCAGTGAGTACAATGTGATCAAAAGGCAGCTTCACTTTTTCCTACATGTCCTGTCTTCCTGACATGATACCGATGTGTGTGGGCAGGTCTGTGTGCCGACATCATGGATGTCCAGCTGCCGGAAGTGATGCTCGCTTGTCCTTGGAGCTGACATTCAAGAGGATGAAGTGTGACCTGTTTTCTTCGCTGCGGACCGATCACCCAGTCCACGGTCAAAGCCAGGTAACTGAGAGCAGAACCAGCAAAAGGCTACAGATGCATTGGAGAGACGGTCAAACTTTACAGTTAAGTGTCTAAGTTAATGTCAGCTGAGGAAGCACTTTAGGAGATTAGCTGCTCAGGGCACTGCACTGGAATGTCCCCTCCAGGAGCAGTCCTACAAAACGGGGTGCAGAAGCGCCTCTCCGGGTTTAAAGTAGGGCGACGGTTTAAGTGACCGTCGCACATATGGGTAATCACTCCGCCGGAGAAAGACACGGGGAAACCTGTCCACCCTCTGACAACTCCGCTCAGTGAAACGCTGACTGTGCTCACAGAATTAGGAAGGGAATCGCGGCCCCGATGTGGAGGCCTCTGAGGAGCTGAGCAAGTGGATGGGTGAGCTGCCCTGCCCTGTCCTGTCCTGTCCTGTCCTGCCCTGTCCTGCCCTGCCCTGTCCCGTCCTGCCCTGTCCTGCCCTGTCCTGCCCTGTCCTATCCTGCCCTGCCCTGCCCTGCCCCGCCCCATCCTGTCCCACCCTGCCCTGCCCTGTCCTGTCCTGTCCTGTCCTGTCCTCCTGCCCAGAGCGGGGAGGGCTGTGGGGTGAGCCAGGGGCTGTCTCCACCAACAGATCCCAGAGTCTCTCCCCTGCTGACATAAACATCAGTTTAAATCACACCCTCCCCTCAAGGTCACCTTATGCAAAACCGTCCATTCACAACATGCCTATCATTTCCCTATCAGGTTCTCTCTTCACCAATTAATTAAACTTTGCATATTTGAAACACAGTATAAAGAAGTACAAATTAAACTGTGACAGTTCATGATAATAATAAGGTTTAGTAGCATTTCTTTTTAAAATTAAGATGAAAAACTCTAAGTAGATATCTATGGTGAAACATTTGATGGGACGAAGAAACAGTCTCCACGGAATTACTATTTGACATAAAAATATGCATTACCTTAAAACCATATTTGCGAAAGAATATCTTGGATCGTTATTCAAATTAAAGTCTGCAAAACCAATTGTGACTTTTTAATAAGGTCAAGCTAAAAAATTCTGGCGGATTTCAGAAACAATGTTGGCCTTTTTTCTTCATCTTTACAAATGCACAGTAAGTTCTAGTTTTCAGAATTCTATTAAAATGCAGCGATGTCACAGAAAAGCCATCTGAGGAGAAAAGGACTTTTATCGGTAGGTTTTGCTTACGGGCAGGTTTCTGCATTAGAAACCAGAAGCCACAGCAGGTGATGAATTTTTAGCCACCAAGGATTTTAAATTATAGTAATTTGACTGATCCTTATTTTTAAAAAAATATGTTTTAGCCCTGGCCGGTTTGGCTCAGCGGTTAGAGCATCAGCCTGTGGTCCAGAGAGACCCGGGTTCGGTTCTCGCTAAGGGCACGTACCTCGGTTGCAGTTTGTCCCTGGCCTTGGCCAGGTCGTGCGGGTGGCAGCCACTTGATGTGTCCCTTTCACATCGATGTTTCTCTCTCTCTCCCTCCCACTCTATCTGAACAAAAAATGGAAAAAAAAAGTTTTAAAAATATGTTTTATTGATTTCAGAGAGAGGAAGGGAGAGGGAGAGAGAGATAGAAACATTGATGACAGAGAACACCGATTGGCTGCCCCCCACGGGGATCGAGCCCCCAACCCTGACATGTGCCCTGACCCGGAATCAAACCAGCGACCTCTTGGTGCAGGGTGGACGCTCAACCACTGAGCCACACCGGCCGGGCGATCCTTATGTTTACAAGTGTTAAGGACAGGAAATGGTAGATACATGTCAATTACAGTGTATCAAGTAGACCGCTTCCTTGACTTCACCGAATACAGTAAGTTCAAAGGTTTACGACGAAGTTCAGCACAGGCTCAGAGAACCAGAGGGCGAGAAAGAAACCCTTCAGGAGGATCTCTCAGGAGGCAGCACATGTGCGGAGCAGTTGTGCTGGTGACGTGCCCTCATGCCCGACAACCCTGTTCCCGTGGCCTCACCTGTGCAGGTGGGCGGGTCTGGCTGCCAGAAGAAGCGGTTATCCAGCTGCACACAGGTGACCTCCGCCTGTCCTTGGAGCTGATAGCCAGGGTCGCACTGGAAGGTGACGGTGTCCCCGGGCTCCCTGCTGTCACCGTAGCGGGTGCCATTCTGGGGCACCCCTGGGTCGTTGCAGGTGGACGCCACTGAGGCTGCAAAGAGGAACAACGACAGGTCACATGACTGCAGACAGGCTTGCACAGGCGCGCCCACGCCGGGCGCCCCGCGCGGCGTCACGGGTCATCTGTCCACGCGTGAACACGTGAAGAAAGTTTATGTCCCAAGCATGAGTGCATTGATAGGCCTCTTGATTCCACTTACTTTGAACGGATTCTAGCAAAATCTTGCTGAGATTGCAACTGGTTATGGAATATACCAAGAATTGCATCATGCTTAGTTATCACACACACACGCACACACATTCCCCTCCGAGTTTTTTTGTTAACGTTATTTAATGAAAACCTGTACCTTGGTTTGAACGATCTCATTAAAGTACAATCTCAAGGAACCTTGAACAAAGTGAAATTGGACAAATTCCCTTACGGTCTGTGCCTTCCAAGGTGCCAACGGCCGAGGCGCCCGTGCGTCTTTGTGGGTGTGCTAAGGGACCAGAGAGGGGAGCATGCTCAGTTCTCACCAGGTCACGTCGGGCTGCGGCCTTCACAAGAGTGTCAGTCACCCACTTCCACGATCCAAAGATACCAATTTGACAAGCGATCTGATGGCCTAGTTTTAGCAAAAGCTCCGGAAAGGGCGTCTTTGTCAGAAAGGCACAGGGCTCCAGGTCAGGTGAGTGGAGGCCGGCATCTCCGACAGGCTGGGAAGCGTGTTCCGGGAACCGTGGGCACCGGGACTGCGAGACTGGCAGACACGCGGGAAGTGTGTACACCCTGTGCTCCAAAATCACGTCCCTGGGCGGCCACCAACCCTGCCCGAGTCCCCTCCATGAAGACACTGGGCCCAGACTTCGTACGGTGTTCTAAGTCCGCCACCTCACCGAACCACTGGCCCGGGACCACTGGCCACTGTCCCCAGTCTCGCGCTGTTAGGCTGAACATTAGGAAGGACCCCGCGAGGACCCAAGACTCACAAATCCTCTCCTCTTCTGCTCTCCCTTTCGGCTAGAATAGTGAGCTCTCCTCCCGCCATGGCCGGAGGGCCAGCAGTTCACTGTCTCCCTCCAGGGCGCGGAGGCCATTCAGGGACCGGAGACGCCGTTGTCCCCCAGGGACACCCGGGCGCCAGCTTCCTGTTGGCAGACGCGCAGTTCTCTGTGTGCTTTGGTTTTATGGTCTGAATGTTCAGTTTCAGGGAAACCCTGGGCAGCGTGTGAGTTTGGCTCAACAGCAGACATTTACTCAAATGAGGATTCAGGAGACACAGAAAGAAATAGACCTGCTTGGGCTCAGATTTTTAACTAGCAGCAGAGGTTAGGGAAAAACGACAGGGGCCCCCCAAAAGTGTTAAAATTGCAGATTAAAGGGTAAGTCCCAAAGAAAGTGCCTTATGGTTCCAACACCCAGGAGCCTGTGGTCCGGCACCCGCTTCTGGTCCCTCCCCTGGACTCGGGCCAGGTCACCTCGCTGAAGGAGTGGACCACCCGGACCCCACCACGCGCCTCCACCTGGTCTGTCACACTCGCGGAATGAAACCAGCATGTGGTTAGAATAACCGAGCAGTGGGAATTTCCGAGGGAAGCCAAGGAGACCAGGGCTGAGAGCCTCATTTTAAGTGTCAAACAAGGTACGTTTCCATTACTCCTCCTTCCCGGGTTTTGTTCAGCCTTCGTTCAAAGCGGACACACTACCCAGGAAGGAAGTTTCTGAGCGAAGGTCTTACGCAGGTAAGAACTCCCACCGACGCGTCAGCCTTGTGGGAACATGTTCTACACAGCGCATTGCGGGGGCTCTCGTCCTACCCGAACTCAGCACGCGGCCGCCCACGCCATTCAGACCAAAGGTACAACCATAACACTCTAAAAACATACGTATGGGGAAGAGGAAGTACCTGTGTAGGGGAAATCTCTGGGGCTCAGGGCTCAGCACGCACCCCTTAGCCGTGCAAACACGTCACAGTCCAAACAGCCCACGGGTCACTCGGCCTCACCAGACTGCACAGCTTCCGCTCCCCGGAAGACCTAGTTAGAGGATGGACAGACCCGACAGCCTGGGAGCAGAGGCCGAAAGCCACGGATCCGACAAAGGACTAGTGTCAGAAACACGCCGACAAGGCTCCTGATGCCAAAAAATAAAACCAGACCAGCAAACGGTCAAAAGACACGAAGAAATACGTTGCCGAAGAGGATATTCAGATGGCAAATACGTGCATGGAACCAGGTTCAATCCTCATCTGTGAGGGAAATGCACAGAGACACGCTGCACAGCCCACCCCATTGCCCAGGGAGTCCACGCGGAGCCCAGGAGGACACGGAACCACGCAAAGCCTGGGAGACCACATGGAGCCCGGGAGGACACGAACCACGCAAAGCCTGGGAGACCACACGGAGCCCAGGAGACCACATGGAGCCCAGGAGGACACGGAGACCACGCGGAGCCTGGGACACCACATGGAGCCCGGGAGGACACGGAGACCACGCGGAGCCCAGGAGACCACATGGAGCCCGGGAGGACACGGAGACCACGCGGAGCCCAGGAGACCACATGGAGCCTGGGAGGACACGGAGACCACGCGGAGCCTGGGAGGACACGGAGACCACGCGAAGCCTGGGACACCACATGGAGCCCAGGAGGACACGGAGACCACGTGGAGCCCAGGAGACCACATGGAGCCCGGGAGGACACGGAGAAGCTGAGCCTGACCGGACGACCAGTGAGGGAGGAGCATTAAAATCTAGATGCTTGCCCTGGCCAGTTTGGCTCAGCGGTTAGAGCGTCGGCCTGCGGTACAGAGAGACCTGGGTTCGGTTCCCGCTAAGGGCACGTACTTCGGTTGCAGTTTGTCCCCGGCCCTGGTTGGTCGTGCGGGTGGCAGCCACTCGATGTGTCCCTTCACGTCGATGTTTCTCTCTCTCTCCCCTTCCTCTCTCTTCCTCCCACTCTATCTGTACAAAAAATGGAAAAATATCCTCAGGTGAGGATAAAAAAAAAATAAAAAATAAAAAAAAAATAAAATAAAATCTAGATGCTTGTCCAGGCCGGTTTTACTCAGTGGTTAGAGCCTCGGTCCTGCACCGAGAGGTCACCAGTTCGATTCCCGGTCAGGGCACCTGCCCAGGTTGTGGGCCTGATTCCCGGGGGGGGGGGGGGGCGTGCAGGAGACGACCCGTCGATGTTCTCTCTCATCGATGTTTCCATCTCTCTGCCTCTCCTTCCTCTCTCTCTAAAATCAATGAGGAAAAATATTTAAAAAAATAAAAATAAAAGATTCAACCTTCACCCTCCATAGACCCTGTGCTCAGCATCTGGCCACATCAGTGGTCACAGTTAAATTACTCTCAGCCTCTGACAGGCATGGACAGGGAAAGCTGTGCATTGGCCCAGGAGGGACCTGGGCAGAGAAATCACCACAACCAGCGTGCTCAGCAGAGGTTCTGCCACTCACCTCTTCTCGAGCTATGACACACGGTGACGAACGGTGTCGGTGTCATGGGGACCGCAGGTGGGCCACCACACTGAGAAGTGGCACCGTGACATCCGCGTGATGAAGTGGAGTGTATTGTTCATGTTCACTGTCCTGCCCCCTTTCTGAGTCAGGGCTGCTCGACATCCTGCCGAGAGCACCGGGCTGCCCCCTGGTGCGGGTCTGAGCCGAGGGCGAGGCCGAGGACAGAAGCTAACTGCGCACGGCGCACGGAATCATTTATAAGCGTTTACAACAGGATATTTCTGTGTGTCTGTGTGTATGCATGTGTCTCTGTGTGTATGTGTCTGTGTGTGTGTCTGTGTGTATGCATGTGTCTGTGTGTATGTGTCTCTGTGTGTATGTGTCTGTGTGTGTGTCTGTGTGTATGCATGTGTCTGTGTGTGTATATGTCTGTGTGTATGTGTATGGGTGTTTATGTGTGAGTATGTGTGTATGTGTATGTATGTGTGTATATCCATGTAGATGTGTATATGTGTGTGTATGAGTGTCCGTGTGTGTGTGTGTATTTTCTCTTTGTACTCAGTGATAACGTTGCTAATATTTGAATCGCTCACAGGCATCTCACGAATGCTCAGTGCTGCCAAGTACATCACTCAGACTTTTACCACAAATGCTTTTTGAACTGCCCCAGTGAGAACATGAGTTACTGGGCGAGGACAACGGTTGGCCTCATTAAAATGCAATCCAACGCGCATCATGGGGTGATTTCTCTTGCGTGAAACATTCTAAAAGTTGTGAATATTAGAGCAGAAATATAAACAAATAATCAGTGCACTGAGGAAATTCAGGGTCCCTAGAACCAGTAACTAAAACAAAAGGATAAGGGAGAAGAAAACACACACACACGCTATCAAGTGTCAGGTGTGAGACGGAGAGTCAGTGATCAGTACCCAACATGACCTGTGAACACGGGACAATCAGTGACAACCGAGTCCTGACCACACTGCCGAGACTGCAGAGGTGGACGGGTGCATCACCAGATGGTGCCTTGTGGAGTGGACAGCAGTAGCCGGGCCGAGGGAAGGGCGGGGAGGCCGGGACAGGAGAGCAGTCCCTGGACGATCGAGCGAGGGTGGGAGGATCTGAGGACACGTAACCGGCAGCCTCTGACCGGATGGTGAGCAGGAGGACACAGGAGGCCCTCCAAGCAGGGTTCCTGGACTAGACTGGTCTCTACCAGGGTGGCTTTTTCCGAACACAAGTTCATTTTCTAATAAAAGCAGGAAATGTGCCAAATGATGGATCAAATGATGTTCATCATTAAAACTAAGTATCAAGCCCGGCCGGTGTGTCTCAGTGGTTGAGCATTGACCCTGAACCAAGACGTCGCCCGGTCGAGTCCCGGTCGGGGCGCATGCCCAGGTTGTGGGCCTGACCCCAGTGGGGGGCGTGCAGGAGGCGGCCAATCCATGTTCTCTCTCATCGATGTTTCCATCTCTCTCTCCCTCTCCCTTCCTCTTTCTCTAAAATCAATAAAAAAATAAATAAAAAATAAAAATAACTAAACATAAACATTAAACGTTATAAAATAAAAATAGTCTGCTGGTTT